TTTCAAGGTTAAGCGGTGAGGGGTCCTTAAGGGAGTTTTTTTTTTTTTTTTTTTTTTTTTGTATTTTAAAAACTGTTTATTTATCCAGAACCTGATTTCTGATCTGCTAAGCCTAATTACTTGATTCAAGAGTATCAATCTTTGGAAATGTATGGTTTGCCTGACTGAATGACAGCTTCTTATCTTTAAGTCATTGAAGAGTCTGCATCAAAATAAATTACAAAGAGAAATTTCTCCGAAGTAGAGATGGCCCTGACTTTTAGTGAACGATGAAGCCAGGATAGTCAGAACCTGATTTCTGATCTGCTAAGCCTAATTACTTGATTCAAGAGTATCAATCTTTGGAAATGTATGGTTTGCCTGACTGAATGACAGCTTCTTATCTTTAAGTCATTGAAGAGTCTGCATCAAAATAAATTACAAAGAGAAATTTCTCCGAAGTAGAGATGGCCCTGACTTTTAGTGAACGATGAAGCCAGGATAGTAATCAGGTCCAGAGAAGGGAGACTAAGATAATAAGAGGATGGAGGAATTTCAAAACAAAGTATAGGCTGACCTAAGACCCATTTTTCTCTGTAGCTGTGGCCCCTGAGTCCCGAGAATTTCTTGGAAACCAGTGGCCCTTGGAACCAGTGACCCACCTTTGCAAAATGCTGGCCAAGCATTAGAGATGTCATTTGAGACTTAAGAGCTGAGTAAAGTAAAAGTCTCAAACCTATGATCATGAATTAAGAAGCCATGGATAGAAAGCCAACAAGGCCCAGAACATAAGGCCAAAACAGTCTGAGTATTAAGTACATAAACATCTAATATGATTCATTGATTTCTTCGCTATCTACATGACCTCTTTATTTGAATGTCACAGAAACACTCCAACCTCATTATGTCCCAAACAAGTTCATTACCTTTCTCTCCAAGCTCTTTCCCACCCCCTTCACCTGGCATTTCTCATCTCTGTAAATGAAAACACTCAGGATTCATTCTAGACACCTCCCTGTCCCACACCCCACTCCCTCCCTACATGCACAATTCTGTCGGTTCTAATCTCGCAAACACCTTGTGACTCAGTTTCTTATTCAGAACCCTCGAAGACCCTTCATACTGATGCCTCTGACTCCTTCCTCTCTGTTCACAGAAGCTGGAAAGGTCCTTTGTCAATATCAGTCTAATCCTGATTTGTATATTCTAGTTTAAAACCCACTGCTCCCCATGGTACCCAGGCTACAGTAAAAACTCCTTAACAGAGCCCTCTCCTTAACTCCACTGCCTCTTCTCCTGCCCCTGCCCTTTCTCACTCCAAGCTCAAGACTGGCAGCTTGAGCCAAGCACCACTCTCTCTCCCATCAGGCCTCTGCCCTTGCCCTTGCCCTTTCCTCTTCCCAACCCCTACCTCTCCTTCATCCCTCCTCATCCTTTAGGACTTGGCTTAGCTCCTGCTTCCTTCAGGAAGCCTTCTCTGATCATCGAAGTCTGAGGTGAGTGTCCAAGACATGTGCTTTCATCACGCCTTGCGCCTCCCCTGTTGCGGCTCCTTTCCACATTGCATTGTCATTTGGTGCACTTGCCTCCGACCCCTGAGAGATGTCAGCTCCAAGTAGCTGCACTGTGACTCTCCTATTCATCCTTATGCGTGCACATGACAGGCAATCAATCCTTAAGTAAATGGCTAAACAACTGAATGATTGTGGAGAACACCAAATATCATTTATTTTCATTTTCTCCCAGTGCAGAACTTTGTCAGTGTCCATTAAAGTTTGGCAAAAATATCCAGAAGAGCAAACAGTCAATTCAATATGACTTGCGTTCCCAAGAGATTTCGGTAGACCAATGCAGGTATCGTC